TTCGAGAAACACCTGCGTCGTTCAACGATACATCGCACCACGTAAGTCCGCAGTATCGTTACCTATGTAGTTCGAACTATGGTTTCGAGAAACACCTGCGTCGTTCAACGATACATCGCACCACGTAAGTCCGCAGTATCGTTACCTATGTAGTTCGAACTATGGTTTCGAGAAACACCTGCGTCGTTCAACGATACATCGCACCACGTAAGTCCGCAGTATCGTTACCTATGTAGTTCGAACTATGGTTTCGAGAAACACCTGCGTCGTACTTACATAGTTTGAACCACGCAAGTTGCTAACGTAGGTAGCAACGATGGTTTCGAGAAACGCACCCCAGATCAGTAGAGTTATAAAAGCTGTTTGTCTTTCTGTATTAAAACACATTATTTCTTCCACCTTTTGCTCTCTGTCTGTATACTAGAGCCAGGTGCCCCCCTGCCCCCTGAGGCTCTTCACTCTTCTGCCCCAGTTCTCCCACCCCAGTGAAGAAAGAGAGAGAGACAGAGCGAAAGAAAGGGAGAGAGGAAAAGAAGTCTCCATGGACTGAAGAGCACAACTTCGAATTAGGTGTTTGATCTGTTTGTTCTGAAAAGCAAATGAAAGAAAATTTCAGAAGCAAAACTTCAAATCTGAACATGTAAAAGTGTAAAAGCCCAGGAATGTGAGGTGTCCGGTTTTTAGCATGTAAATTCACCCACTTCTCCCTCTTGCCGTCAGACAGAAGGTGCGTATGAGCGTTGCCCCGCACAGAGTACCTGTCACATGAAAGGGTCCCAAGGTAAACCCTCGTTCTGCACAAAATGGCCGTTTGTGGGCTTTCGGTCTTTCAAAGCGGCACCCCTGCCCTTCTCTCTCTCCAGGGTCTCTCTTAATGGGCCTCTCTGTCTGTCTGTCTGTCTATCTGTCTGTCTGTCTAACAGCTTGGTGGAAGACTAGTTAAAATCAATACAAAGATGCAGCCTCGAAATGATCATCATAGAGGTATATACAGTACAGTCGTTGTATAGTATAGTAGATTGTGGGTCATATATTATTTGGTTTTATAGGGAATGGGAGGGGGGTTAGGGCTGGAGGTGTGTGGAACAGCTGTCCTGAACTTGTTTAGAGTAGAAGGGAAGGGAGAGTTAATAGCACTTTGATAACGTTAACATTTCCGAATACTTTTACATTTTTCCAACATGTTTTTAACGTTGCTATTATTGTTTCTGTTGAAATTATTTTTTTGAACTTAATTCACTTTGAAAAGCACTTAATGCTAATAATAATCATCATAATAAGAGTGATAATTGTATCATTATAATTATGTTTTTTTATTGTTGAAGTAAAGCACTTAACCCAAATTGTTTTTGTAAAGAATGTCACATAGTGAGGGGGCAGTTACTGCAGGATTCCCATTGGACAGATTTTTCCAAAAGCAAGATTTCCATTGGACAGCCTGTTCCAAAGCAAGATTTTTATTGGATAGATCTATTCAAAAGCAAGGTCTCCATTGGACAGCCTGTTCCAGGAACAAGGTATTTGTTGGATAGATCTATTCAAAAGTAAGGTTTCCATTGGACAGCCTTCTCTGTTTATGCCAGCCTGAAAAAGTCATCCTAAACTTGGGATGCTCTTGTACACTATGGTCTGTGTTGCTTTGACCAGTTTTACTTGAATATTGGATGATTTTTACAATGAAGATGCATGACTGCAACAAAATGTTTTGGAAAGTTTTCAGTTGCTCTGAAGCCTCACAAGTTGACTTGTCCCTTTACTGTCGCAGTTGAGTCTTGGTTTGGCTTGACTTTTCCGATAAATTTAGTAGTATTAACTTAAACCTGGGTGTCTATCTGCTTGATATAGTGCCAAACACTTTATTATGAAACCTCTTGCAGTGTGAGTATGTCAGTGTTGTCCATACTTTTACAATCAGCACGGGAGACGGTGCCAGACTCCGAGTTCGACTCCATGTTTTATCATATACTTAAGTGTTCAGGAAGGGAAACTGCTGTTGTTAATTACATGTGATGGGTGTAGCCAAGTGAAGCTGAATGCCTATGTGTCTCTGTGTATGTGGGATCAGCAAACAGGAAATGCTGATTTGGGACGGAAAGGCTCTGTGATGGAATCTGTCTGGCAGGCCTAAGAACTGGTTCCGTATATCCAAACAAGGCATTTCTATAAATTTCTTATACTCTGCATTGTATTCCTATTTTTATGTCACTGACAGTTACTGGGCCTTCTCTGTTGCCATGTTACTTGCTGTAATCTTTGTGTCCACCTGTCTTTTTGCTCCGGTTATAAGTAATCTCCGTACCTTGCCGCCGTTGAGTCCATTCCTTAGGGTGTGAGCCGTATGCAGTCGCACCTAGCTGGGTGATTCCCATCAGGTCCGCCTTGCTGCTTCACCAGTGCCATGGATCTGCTCCCAGGTCAGGACCCTTGTACCCTGGGATTCTGCCGTATAGTAGACTGGCTACGATTTGTGGCCTGACCTTTTGAAGGGGGTTGCTGGTGGTTTCAAAGACACGTGATGTTCTTCCTCTAGCGCTGAGCAGAAGTTCCACAGACATTTCCGACAAGGTTTCGGCAGTGACCTGATTCGCACAGTACTGATCCGTAGTCAGCGTGATTCGTCCATCCATTCCAAATATCGTCTGAAACGTCTCCTACCTCTAGGAGATGTTACTGAATGGCACCTTCCACGTCATTCATGAATCCTCTAGCCACAAGGAAACTCGGGTTTTCTCTAATTTATGTGGAAACTTAATGCCGATTCGTGCATCACGTAATAATCTTCTCAATTGGACTTCATGCCTTCAAACATCCACATCAAACTTCAGAATTGCGGTAAAACCCACTTGACCAGGGTGGCCGATGTAATATGAGAAGCCTGTGGACGTAACAGCCCCCCCCCACAGGACCCACCCGCTCGAGGCCTCATACCCGAAAACAACGCCAGTTCTGCTTCTTCTGCTTCACACGTCGGCCTGTCAGTATTAAACAACCCCAAAAGACTGAAAGTGGTGGTCTCTGTGTTTCAACTGTAGATCTAGTGAAGATTTTGTGGCTGTGTTTATTTTCTATTTATTTTTTTTATGGTTAACCGTAAGAAAAATGGTTACAGTGATGATAGTATTGAATGATGCAGTTTGTCAAGCACAAATGCTGCACAGGTGTGTTAAATACTTTACCTGAATTTGTCATATCGTCACCGGAAACAAACGGGAAAAAAAAAAAAATCGAAAGGTCCTATTTACACATTTAAAAAAAACATGCAGATAAAAGTGATACAAAGTCTTGTGTTGTCTGTTCTTTTTACTATTTCCCTGGAGCTGAAACTATATGTCTCACATGGGTTAAGATACAATGGGGTCGCCCAAGTTATGTGACCCAGGCTGGTGAAAAAGTCAGCTGACACAGATATGGAAAAAGCTGTTGATATTACACATGGATGTTCAGGCACGGAGGGGCCAGATGCGAAGGCCTTTTTCCAGGGGAGTGTGGGCGGGGCAGGGGCTGTGGTTAGCAGCATAGAGCGAGGCCCACACACATGGTGCAAACCCACAACTGCAGAGCTGTGCCAAGGAAGAGGCGGGTGAAGTTACAGTGTAAATATCTGTCTGACGTCCAGCTACTGGATCATGGCTATATATCCCCGTTCAGCATTCCATTTCCTCCCCTTGGGGGGGCTCCCACACTGCCACCCTGCATGTGAAACACTCAGGAACGAGGAGGTAACACCCAAGGCTGGGGCTGTACAGGTAACCTGAACAGTATTTAAGGAGCTCCCTGTTGTCAAGGTCTCCCCCACAGCAGGGAGAACGTTCTACAGAATTCCAGCATTTTCTCTGTGCTCAGGGCTGCAGGCTCATGCTTGCCATATTTGCTTAGTTATCAGGGTCAGTGAGGTATGCTGGTCTTATCCAGAGCTAAACAGGCCTCAGCATTCTACAAAAATGCTTATCTGCTAGAGCAGCTCATCCTCCCTCACTGCACAGGCCTTCCGACATCAATACCAGCAAGGGGACACTTCGATGAGGGGCTGGACAGGGGACCCAAATATACAAATAGGCCAGTTAATCATCTGCAGCCCTTGTGGCATTTGTGTAACAGCTCTTTGTACAAAAGCAGGTACAGTCTTCCACAGATATGATAGAGAGCTCCTCAGAGACACTGCTACTCACAAACGGTTAGAGGCTTTGTGGGTGTAAAGTCTGGTTTACTGCTTTTGGGGAAGATGTAGGCAATATCCCACCAATTTGCTCTGGTTAGCATGCATCGACCATCTATGCATTTACCTTTAAGAGGGAGCATGGGCAGGACTACAGTGCATCAGTGTTAAAGCAATTCCATTTCCACAAGAGCTCTTTTCCCCCCTACAATGTCCTTATTTGGTCATGCCTCTCACATTGTATCACACGTGATATTCAGAGACGAGTCTATTAAGGAAAACTATGCATCAGCTGGGAGGAAACAGGACAAAGACTCCCCTTTTAGATTTCCCTATTGCAAATGGCACACTATTTTATACCATTACTGCGGAACAAAGCTTAATGTGAGTATTAGCATAAATGTAGAGATCAAGACAGGGTTCACATCAACCAAAAAAAAAAAGTCCTGCTTGAAAATGTAAAGGACGCATTTTAAAGAACTCAGTGCTAATTGATTCCATAATCTATAAAATAAAATACACATTCAACAACTTTCAGGAATCAGGCAAATTTATTTAGTCTAAACAAAATATGGCTGTGGATGAAACACCACAAGCGACTTTCAGTTCATGCCCGGTTAATTTACCGACACCTTTCCTATGACGCAGAGCGACCGGTGAGGAGGAAACTAGGACTTCCTCTCTGCTGGGTAAACCGTGAGCCTGTTCCGATCCTAGCAGCAGGTTCACGAGGCATCGCGGGGCATTCGACCTCGAACCATGGGGTGTCCGCTGTGTTGAAGGCACTTCTGAGAAGGTGAAGTAACGAAACCCAGGAGCATTGTGGGTGTCAGTATGCCAGTGGGGGTGCGGGGGATAAATATTCAAACAAAACCTATGTCTAAAATATCGAAGATGATGTTCAGGTCTTCAGCCGCTCATGACCATCCTGACAAGTTCTGTATGGAGGGGGAGATGAAGGGTTAAATGTTGAAAACTGTACAAAAATTGAAAGCAGCAAAAACAACCATGACGATCTATGTTTCTCCACTTCCTAATTACTGTAAACAAGTTGAAAACTGGACATCCCGCTTTGAAAGCAAACAGGAGGCTCAAAGACCTGTTACATAAGCAGTACGATTCCATTCTGTGATGCGAGGACAGGTTTCCAGCTCAGCTATACTAAGAGGACAAGGGGACTAGTCTTGCATGCCAATTCCTGAGTCAAGATATAACGCCTATTAAACACCTACTGGCCTTGGGGGAGGGGGGGGGGAGCATTCTGCCCCAGCAGGTATCAAATTATACGTTCTGACAAATAAGGAACGAAATGTAAATGCATGCGTGTGCAGACAGCATTATGGGAATTCCTCCCAAGACACAAAGGGTCCCTCCACACTAACACATCCAGATAAGGCATGATGTAAAGCAGACCAAACCCACGAGGCTGCTGCCATTAATGGTCAGCTGCCCCAAGGCAGTTTCCGTTCCTTCCATCCATCCCAACACCATGCAACACTTATAACAGGGCAGCAGCAACTTGCATGTGGCCACCAAGATATAGCTGCCATATTTAAGGGAGCTGCCTGGACCACAGCAGCCTGGCAGACACACAAGTGACCGTTTGCTGCTATATCACATCCCATGGGGTCTTTACCTTCATAGTTGATGCAGCCATTAGCATCTTCGTGACCTGCAATCAGGGTTTCTACCTCTTCCTCGGTCATCTTCTCTCCTGAAATAAATCAGTGATGGTCAGACATCACTTCTAGGAATAAAGCAGCTAAGAGATATCCTGAATTCCTTTGGGATAAGTGTTTAACAGAGCAGGACCCATGTGCTAATAAAGTGTTAATGCGGGAGGTGTGGCACACCCCCAGGAGAGTCCACTACAGCAGTGTTTCCCAACCAGGCCCTGGGGGGACCACCCCCCCCCCCCCACAGTCCACGTTTTTGCTTCCTCCCAGCTCCCAAGAATGTGGACCGTTTGACAGGGTGGTGGGTGGAAGCAAAGATCGACTGTCAGGGGGTCCCCAAGGACCGGGTTGGGAAGCACGGCACTACAGGACCTGACGAACGTACCAAGAGGAATTAAGATGAGCCGATTTGACTTTGGGAGAAAATCTACATTCAAGCATGGAACTTCAAAAGGCCACCATCCCAAAGTGGAGGTTATGATGCTGACGTCAAAGTGCCGTACTGATCACAGCGACTGCGTGAACGTCTAACGGAGACCCTATTTCATTCTGCACTTCAGCCCCCCATGCCCACTAACAATCCCTCCCTTTACATATTTATCAGTTCTTATCTACCTGACTGCAATTTTGCACAGCATCTTCCAAATACTGTTGCACTTTATGTCACTATGTCCTGTCCTTCAACTGCCTTTAATTGCCCCTCGGGGACAATAAAGTTATTTGAATTGAATTGAATAGAATAGAATATAGGCAGCTTGGTAGTGGGCATTAGCTACAGTTTGGCTACCATGAAAACCAGGAGACTGCTATAAACCAAGGCCTTTCATACATGACACACATCAGCACTTGTCAATTAGACAAACATAGGGTGAAGAAAAGTTTGAGTGTTCATGTAGTGTTGGGAACATTAGCAGGCAGATACTGTGGTACCAGGTAAATTTTCAACTTGGGGAAAAAGCCTGAGAGGGCCTACCTAGTGTGGTGAGGACATGACGCAACTCGGCACCCATGACGGTGCCGTTGCCCTCCTTGTCAAAGACACGCAGGCCCTCCACAAAGTCCTCAAAGGAGCCCTGGTCCTTGTTCTTGGCAATGGTCTGAAACATGGGCAGGAACTGCTCGAAGTCCAGCATCTTGAAATTCATCTCTGATGAAGGAAAAATACATCAATTTTACATATACATAAGTCATGCAGTCCTCATCACGCCCGCCATAGAGCATACCCGCCTGCCCGCCGTAGGGCATACCCGCCTGCCCCGGGGCTCACCGTCAGCTTTGGGGTTTCCCAGGACCTTCAGCACCTCAGCATTGACGGGGTTCTGGCCCAGTGCACGCATCACGTCCCCACATTGGCTGTAGCTGATCTTCCCATCGCCTGTCCGGTCAAAAAGCAGGAACGCTTCCTTGAACTCTGAGAGGGAAAGTCAGCAGTCAGGAGAACGGGAACCTTGTTTACACGGCAAGGCATTTATCCAGGGAGTAACAGGAAGTAGATAAGGAAACAAGGCTGAGAAGTGGTAAATGCCGACGGCTTAAATGAAAGCTCTGCAGTCGGAGGCCCAGCTTTCCTTTAAAGATGAACCCTCTACACCCAAAGCACGAGAAGTTTTATATTTGTTGACTTCAGCATGTTATGGAGGAACTTCCAAAATTCCACCATGCAAAGTCCAAAAACAGTTAAAGTCCTAGTTTTACATTTTCTCTTAAGACGTCCTGTTACGCTGATTATCCCATACAAACTTTGTCCCAGTACACCCAGTCTAGCTTTCTTTCTCGTTTTAATGAGAATTTTAGAGGCATGACGTACAACTTCACTAGCACAACATTAACAGGACCTAAGAGCCAGAACTGTTTACAGAAAAACCCATACCAGTTTATGGGAGAGGGAGGGGCATAACTCATTAAAACAAAAAATTCTGTAACCCCTAACAAAAATTCTCTAACACTAACAATCACACACAGAGGGAGGCAGATGTGTGCGTTACCCTGTGGGGGTTGCTGGGATGGCACTCCTGCTCCTGGGCATTGTCTCAGCAGCCTGAGTCAGTTTTATGGTAGGTTCTGTTCCTGCAGTTTGGAATGTGGGGCATCCCGGGATAGGCCGTCTAAGGAGATGTGGCCATATAAGGCTTGTAGTGGAATGGGGCGGCAACCTGTCAACCATTTTAGGCTAAACCAAACCCGAAGAGGGGGCTACATTAAAAGGAAATCAAAAATCAGCCGCTCCTAAAATGGGCATTATTCAAGAATGACGCTGCTAAGAGCAGTGTGGCGTTTTACATCAACCTGCGGATATTTCGAATAGTCTAAATACACGATAACAAATACATTTTAAACAAATAATTGCGTTAAACGGTTTGCGATTAAAGATTTGGGCGTTTCCAATGGACGGTTTAACCTACCGACTCACGGGCTGCATCAGCGGATCTTATATGCAGGACAGAGCGGGGATATTTCATGCTTCACGTCACACGAGTAATGCAGTGGCTGGCATAAATATCTGAACGTTTAAATTCTTCGGATACGTTTGTTAATGTTAGCGAAGAACGCGTGTTAGCCGATTAGCCGTCCACCCCCCTCCCTCCCCAGGAAGTCAGGAAGTACTGACATCAGCGGCACCCCCCCCCTCACCCTCTTTCAACCACAGTGGACAAATACGGTCTAAAAACTGTACTTGGATAAGCTTGGGGCAGAAGAATGCCGGGCAAATCCCAGCTTGCCTGGAGACAATGGCTATGCAGATTAAGCCATCTGTAACGCTTCGACCAACACGATACACAAATAGCATGCGTGAAAATGAATGCAAGTCTGAAATAAACGACTGTCAAGCTTTAAACACACAAGAGGCCTCAAACAGCCCACGTCAAGGCAGTGTGTTAGTGTCTCACACTTCAGAAGTTAATATTCTCCATCTTAGTTCAAACTCCTTTTCCGATGCAGAGACTCACCATAAATCTGGTCCGGCTTAAATTCAACCTGGAAAGAGCAAGCCGGCGGTTCACGCATACAAGAGACAGGAGATGACAGATGTTTAAGAGGAAGGATGGATGAAAGGAGAGTGAAGATGACATGCAGCCACAACACGGCTGCGGAACAAGCGGAGAGCTACCGAGGTCAGACAAGAGGAAAAGGCGCAGAAAAGCGGCTCACTCACCGATGATCTGGTCCTCTGAGAAGTCAGACTGTTCAGGGAGGAACACACGCATCAAGACATGCTTTTCAAGGTTACAGCAGTTTTAAGTTAAACTGATGAAGGATCATCGGAATGCACTGGGAACCGTAAGAACTCATTAACTTATCTGTCGGAAAGTCTAAACAAACTGACTATTCACGGACGACGAATCGTTAACTCCAAAAGTACATCAAGCTGTCAAATCATGAAAGCAGACAGCTCTCCTGTAGAACTTCATAACCAGATATTTTAAGCGCAATTAGCCGCCTATAGGCTTTGATGAATTCACTATCATAGGATAGCAAATGCTATCCCCGCCCCCACCTTACTGTAAGCGCCGACTGGCTGCTAAAATTTATAAAGGAATCTCACAATAAAATGCCGCATAATGATTAACACACCATATCTGCAGTCTTCCAGCTCCTCCGGCGCCGTCAGCCACAGGGTGAAAACTTACCGCCGTCGGCAGCCGGGATAATATCCCCGTCACGTCATTGGGTGTGGCCGCTCGGCAGCCAATCCAATTATAGCGACGGGGTGTTGGTATGCGCATGTGCATCACCCTGCATTTTTTTTTTCGTTGCAGGGGTCCTCAACTATTCTTCTTCGGGGCAAAATTCCACCAGCAATACAAACCCATAGATACAATTCCTGCGTCCGCTGCGTCCGAAAAGAATGCCGACTTTGGACGATTGTGGAATCGATCGCACAGTCTGAATTCAATTATTTTTTGGTACGGAGCCCACGAGTTGGTGATCACTGGTTTGTAATGAAACCCTCTTGCTTTCTGCACCCAGTTTTCATTAAAATAATGTAAAAAAAATATTATTTATATAGAATAAGTCTTTATTCTATTAACTTGTTATATCGGTCAGCAGGCCATATATTTTAATATAACCGATAAACTTAAATGCTTGCAGTACACAGAAGAATGGCAATAATTGGAGTATATAATTTATTGCAGTTTAAACCAAAGGAGTTCTAATGACAAACAAATTTGTATTTTTTTAATCAGCAAATGTATCTGTAAGTGATTCATGTCTATTCTTATAAACCTTGCAGGAGGAGTGAAGCACGGCGTTTAACTGTGAAATCACCGTGCAGCAATGAGGTGGATCAGCACAAACATTAACCTGAAGCCCCAGCACTGGCCTTTGCAGGAACTAAATCCTGCCCAAATGAATGACAATGCTCCTGAAGGAGAACGACGGATAAGGACTTACATAGACAAGGATAGCGGAGAACAATTTTAGTTAGCATTAAAACAGACCTACAGAAGGGGGCAGTTAATTTCCATCTGTTAGAAAAGACATTTAAAATCCCGATTACTCATTTATCAGTTATAACATGATATTCAGTAAAAGCAGAGCAAACAAAAACAATAAAAACAGTGAACATTCAAACATTTTCAAATTTCATACATTTGCTGTTTTTAGAGTTAATCCTGAGTTTCATGTGCTCTTAAGGAAACATTCGAATACTAACATCTTGTAACACAATGTACATGTGGAGTAACGCAGAACACAGGACAAATATGCATAAAATATGTACAGCAGTCATTCATCTCTCATCTGTAATAGAGAGGCCCCTCCCACTTACCTCTACAGCACTGGGATCAAACTGCGAGTCGGAAGGGCGCAAGAGCCGGGGCCTCAGCTCCGGAAGACGTCTGACTGGTGTGGAAGCTGGGGAAAGGCTGGGGAACGGTGGTCCCAGCCTGGGGGGGACGGTGGCGGAGACTGACCTCCTCAAGGTCAATTCTCGCTTTGAAGCCATCATTCGTGCGGAAGCCTGTGTTCCGTGTGATAAGAATGGCTGATTCCTGCGATACACAAGTACAGTGCTGTAAAAGAAATGATGTCAGATCCAGGAGACCCTAAGGCGGAGAGAGAGATGATTGGAGTTTCACCAGGAACATGGAGATGGATCTTGAGGGAATAGCTGAAGAGGGTTTTGTAGGAGAGAGGGAGACAGGAATTAAATGAAACTTCATTCGACGAATGCCTTCATGAGCAGTCATGCCTTTCTGTGGGGCTGTTTTCAACAGTGGGGTGTAGCAGGTCCCAATATGTTTAGGAGATGAGGATCTTCAGGGCAGTCTACATAAATTGTACATATGGGCCATTCTGTTTGTCGCTGAAATCTAGCTGAGCTATTTCCGTTGTGATCCCTTGACAGTTTGCCTTTCCTCCTTCCTGCACTAATTCTGATATGTGGAGCAGGCTTACATGCTTCGCTCTCTCTCTGCGGCCTCATCTCGACTGCGCTCTGGTCACGTCAGCTGAGACACGGCATCCTAGACCGTCACACTCCTGCTTGTGTAGCCCAGTCTTTTCCCTGGGGTAATGTACTATCCCTTCTAGGCATTGTAATTACATACAGAAATTTGCTACCATTGAATGACCAAACCACACTGTTGATGTTTGATGCATTAACTTACGTAACTGATTGTTTTGTTGCATCCTTGTGATCAGGGTAGGGTGTCTCAGGGCTGTATTTTCCAGTCATGTCTGATACACACATAGTATGATATGGTTTGAGCCGTTAACCAGCTAACTGTTGGGGGACTCGCTAAGTTTGGCCATTGTCAGCACTAACCAGCATTAGGCACTGATGAGACTATCCCCCCCAGGGATAAATGTTTATTCTGGACTTTACAGGTTGTACTTTGACTGTTAGTAGATAAGCAATCATTCTCTATTACGTATCTTATAATCACAATCTGATCACTTTGTGCTTCTGTGTTATACCAGCAGTATTTAATTAAAGAGAAGGCAGACTTCATGAATCTCAGTAATTGATTTATTAAGTGTTCAGTTCATTAATGGTCATTTCCAAACACATACAGTACGTTACACAGAGCTGGTGGCCCACAGCTGTGGATCATGCTGCATAACTGTATTTTTGCTTCTTTGTGATAAAATTAATGTCATATGGAGTTTGGATTTGCATTAAACGTCCCAGCAGAGTACCAGCTGTGTCACATCTGGGTAGGACAGTCAAAAGCCTTCTAAAAAGTCCTAATGGAGGTTCTCATTCATTGGTCAACATTGCTACTCCCTTCTCCACACTGGAATCGGACGAAGTCCAGCACACGGGCACCTTGCTCAGTCAGGTACTGGCTCACTGTCTTGCTCGGGTCCGACAGGAAGCTCTGAGGCAGTAGCCGGGTCTCGGAGTCCCCACACGGCACATCGTCCTTGTCGCCTAACGACAGAGGTGCCTCGCCCACAATGTGCTGCCCCAGCTTCCTCCCTGTGGTCTCCACATCGCCCTGGCCACCCTGAAGGACCACAAGGGCGCCATACCGGCCCATGGATACGCCCGCCTGTCCGGGCACCGCGCCGTGGATGTAGGATCCCACGTGCCACTCGACGGGCACTCCCAGGAGAACCGCTCGTCTCACGGCAATGTTCTCGCCAAGCCGACCTGAGGGACACATCAACCCTTCTGGTTACGGAGAGGTGGAGACTTTACTCTCATGTTCACCAAGAGGCATGTTCTTCAGTAGGCCTTCCCCCTTAACCTCCAGACTACAAAGACTCCTATGAAATTTTATATTAATTTGATCCTTGAATAACTCATCTCCTAGAGGCAAAGATCTTCAAGCAAGAAGCAATATAGAAGAACACTTTAAAATGATGGATTGTGCTGCTGAGAATCAGTGATAGCTACCAGCATCAAGCAGACAACATTCACTCACCAATGGCTAGGGCCAGCTGGTCAGCGATGGTGGATCCATCAGACATCCTCAAGGCAGAGAGGTCTTCTGCAGACAACATACTCTGAAACACAGATACAGACCATTCACCAAGGGTTTATTTGTAAACTACTGTTTTTAGTCCCAGGACACCTTTAATTGAGAGTCTGGGTGGCTCAGTGGTCAGCATTACCTTAAATCACATGGCTTGAAGGTTTGAATCCCACCTCCATCCTGTATTTGGACTTTATGCTCCACTCACCATTCTTCTGGGTACCGTGACTTTCAATTGCCCATAGTGTGTGTGTGTGTGTGTGTGTGTGTGTGTGTGTATATATAGGCACTTTCCCACCTTTCTCAGGATCTGCGTTCCCACCACAGGAACTGAGCCCGAATTGTAGTTCCTCAGAGTAACCTCCTAAACCTCTGTTTTCAACCCCTACACTGAAGGCACCCCAACTGGGGTACATACCCTTCACTCGACCGAGAAGTACTGGGTGGGGCTTACAGCGATAAACTTTGCCGATTGGTTGACCACAAACACTGATGCTAACCTGGAAGTCATACAGAAGTGCAGGAAAGAGTGACAGAAGTTGTGGAGCAAAACTTGATCAAACAGATTTATTTAGGTTATTTGCGGTAAAAAAAAAAAAAACTGAGGTGCAAAAACTTTTGTCTAATAGTGCATGTTCCTGAACCTCGGGGGGAACATGCATATATGTTTGGAAGATGGATGGTCAGATGCATTCCATTAAGATGGAGAACTTGGAAAAACATGGCCGCCTGTCAATTAGTGGTTTGATTAACCATTAAAATGCCTCTTAAGGCCACTGTAAAGCCATCCTACCCCACTGCCCTGCATTGCCGGGAAGGAGCAGCAGTGTGCCCCAGGCCTCGTCCCCACCTTCACGTAGTCACCGTGAGACACAGCCCTGCTGCGCTGATGGGCCATCGCTGCAGAGGCAACGTCTCCAACCAGCTTCTGGAATTTCTCGTTCCGGGCGACAAAGTCGGTCTCGCAGTTCACCTGAGCATCAACGAGCATCATTAGCGACGCACTGGTGTTTTCAGCGTTAGTGGTGGCCGGCAGGCTCAAACCCTATAAGACTGTCACGTGGCTATCAACTGTACTACTGTTTACTAATAAACTGGGGGAAAGCACAGATCATCAATAAAGGCAATACAGACATAAAAATAATGAATTAACCTCCCTCCTCTGAGTAAAACAAGTATGGCAGAATACAACTAAATGTACAGACTGTGTAGACAGTTACATAAGTGATGACTGATAATTCAAATGTAATGTAAACAAGTGAACGACGCACCTCCACCATGACAGCGGCTTTCTCCCCCATCAGCTGCCCGATGAGACCTTCCTGGGCGCGTCGCCCTTCCAGCCGCACCGCCTTCGTCCATCCTTCTTTCTGTGCCTGCTCGTGCAACCAGAGCTCCGCCTGGAACAAGACATAGTGCACTGAGCCACGACCCCATGTGGAAATGAAACATGCCGGCTAGGCTTGGCCGGTATTAAAGTTATACGCTAAACCGCTGTATTTTGGGCATATAGCAGTATTTTGAACTCATCGAGGCATAATAGCTGATGAGGAAGTGAGGGGTTAAAACACAAGGTCTTTAATGACAACAGCTGTAAGAGGCACCAGATAACCTTACAAATATTAACCATAATACTGAACAGTACTGTGATGGAGAAACAAACACAGGTTTCACCATCAGGCAGTTCTACCCCTACTCTGTCCCACTGTTCTGAAACACTAGGGTGAGTAAAAATGGGACACTTTCTGAAAATTTGCTTTCTGGAAAAATTCACAGAATCATGTCAATGTCTTGAATCCCAGCTTGATATCATTCTAAATACATTCATGCCCCTTGAACACAATATAGAAGAGAAAATAAAGTATTACTAAACACATATATTAACTGCAAATTTTAACTGTCCCATTTTAACAATACTCACCCTACATTTGAGTGTGTGATTTAGCACTGTCTCGAATGGGAACTCCGGAAAGTCTTTTTCCATTGTGAAGTACTAGTGGTTTCCATTACCTGTTTCACATCGTTGTTGAATTTCTCCAGGGCCTTCTTACAGCTGGTGAACGAGTAGCCAGTCGTCTTTCGCAGTTTGACCAGAAGCGCTTTGTCTGCCGTCAGAAGGAGACGGTTCGTGTGGATTAACTGGACATGCTGAGAAATGGGGCCCGGAGAAAGACACTGTCACATAAAGAAGGCGGCGAGACAATTAGATAAAGCGGGGTGGGGAGGCTCCCCAAAAACATTCATTACAATTAATCTCGCTACACACCTCGCTGGGTCAGGCGGTATTACATAAACGGTAGGCTAAGTAACTGTCTCACTATTAATATGCTATTCGGGACAAATCTCAATATTCACTTTCAAAGTAAATCCTAAATATTCATGTGGGACCGATTATCTGATGGAGATAAATTACACTCCTGGAAGCCTTTAAATCTGTGAAGAGATAGCCGGTCTGGACGCAACATGCCGGCTTACTAAGCACGCTTTCATGTCATTATAAAATACAAACGGCGTCTCCAGATACCGGACCTGCACAAGACAAGCTATTTTACAGAGAAAACCTAACGGTTACCTTTGTGATGTCTGTTTTTATAGATCTCATTACAGAGTATAGAGCCATAACGCGCTTGATGCTTGGCTCTGCCGACAAACTCATATATACCCTTAAAACAACCAAATGTCATTGACCCACGTTTTCTACGGATAGCACAGAGGGTTAAACCGTGCTGCGTGCGTCTTTTCCTAACTTTTTAGTTTTCGTGGCTTCGTGTCTCCCCCTTCTGGTTGGGAGGGAAACATTTCAAAAATAATAAGTAAACAACTATTTGATATCAGTAGTAATACTCATTATAGTAGTGGCAGCATTTTAAATATATAATTAGCAATTACAATAGTTAAATTCCATCCATTATCTTCCGCTTATCCGAGGTCCGGTCGCGGGGGCAGCAGTCTCAGCAGGGAAACCCAGACTTCCCTCTCCCCGGCCACGTCATCCAGCTCCTCCGGGGGGATCCCGAGGCATTCCCAGGCCAGCCGAGAGACATAGTCCCTCCAGTTAAATTCCATTTGATAGTTAAGATGGGTGCCGGCCAGTAAAAACAGCATGACAAATTAAAATTTTATTTTGTAACTTTATTTGCTTGCTTTTTAAAAACTTATTTCTCTATAATGTAATTATTGCTCATTTAACTTCGTTTCTACATCATTTTTCGACCTTAAGCTTAACTTCTACTGCTAAAGAAGTCTGGCTCTTCAGGTCTCAAGCTGTCATGGCATGCCACCCCCCGTGGGAAAAAATGACTACCCCTCCCCCCCACCACAATCCTAAAGTTTTATGTGTAACTGCTATTAACGTAAGGGTACATCTACCGTCTGTATCAGCTGGTATACTCTGGACCGAAACACAATTTAACCTGCAAGATCGTTCGATCTCCACCCCACACCCCCACCATTCCCCTTGTTCGTTTTTACAACTCGAACGCCTTTTTATTTTGCCCAGATTTATCTAGTGTAGCATGTTGGAGTACGCCGTCTCCACCGGGTCCGTGGATGAGAAGAGATTCACAGCTGACACGGGGAGAAGTTGCATAGGGGCCGCTGATGTTCTCTGTGCCCCCCCCTATCTGTTCCGATTAGGTAGCCTTGCCTTGCCGGCGCGCCAGTCAGTTCTCGTTTTGATTAGTTACAGCCTTATAGAATCATTCCCTTTATTTCCCCTTATAGAATTATTCCCTCAATTACCACATTGTCTTGACTGATACCGTGTTTGTAATCTCTTTTGGCTGCCTGTCCAGCCTTCGATATAGGTTTGCAGTGTGTTTGAACTCCCTGTGTCCTCAGTGGACTGAACTCTGTCCCACCGCTGATAACTGTCTCTAGTTATCCATGCAAAGTGGTAGCTGTGCAGATTTTCCATGTGAAACACAGCAGATGGCAGGTCCTACGTACGACTGTTACGTGCTTCATATCAACAGATTAAACATTAATCATAAACCACAGGTGACAAGGAAGACGCTGGACTATATGTTCACACACACACACACACACACACACACTATAGCACAGTGTTCTAAAACATGCTTTGCTATAAAACACACACATACCTATACATTATAGACTTGCTATCACCGTTTACTTTTAGTTCTTAAAAGATTTTTGACATTTTCGTATTTTCATGTTAGGAAATGTGTGTGTGTGTATATATATATATATATATATATATATATATATATATATATATATATATATATATATATAGGTCAAATAATACAAGTTTCTTATATAACACGGACAGAGTATGTAACAGGCAACCTTTTTCAAGCAAAGAGCCATTTTCTCCTAAATGTCTGACCCAAGATTTAGAAAGAGCCACAGTGGGTAAAGAAGGGGGATTGAGATACGATTTTTTAATGTAATATGTGTATATATGCATTTAACGCAAATTTTTTTTTTTTTTTTTTTGGGGGGGGGTGGTTAAATCACTCAGACGTGTATAGCACCGCAAAGGTGACTAGCAGTATAACACTGATTAGTTCTGTAGCGATAGTCTTCACCCTCATCCCTCCTTTTGTTTGGCTCTGCAGTCGCCTGCCCTTCACTCTCCACTTCAGTACTGTAACTCTGCTGACCCAGCAGTGCAAAATGAATAAACCACTCCGAACTCAGCTGGCTATAATATGTAAATCGGAGAAAATGTAATAATTTTTACGAAGACCTGGGAAGGCGTGGTGACGATTTACTACAAAAAGTATATGAAAGAATTAGAAATCCCAATAAACGTTGAAGCGTACATCCAATCTCAGGTGCTTAAGAAAACTCCGGAAAGCATACCATTTAATCAGAGAGGTCATCTCTTTTTATGAAATGACTTTGAGGAAGTCTGTTAGCAAAGAATATTGAGTGTATTTTTAGTAATTGTCGTGAGTAACATGCAAATGTATAAAATCTCAGTGTGTGCAAAACTTTTGACTGCTAGTGTGTGTGTGTGTGTGTGCTGTGTGTGTATATGCATTTCCTAAATGTCTAATATGACATAACTTTTACGTGATGACAAGCCTATACTGTACTGTTATGTGTGCAATTTTTATAGCACAGCACTGTTTTTGATGTTATTGAAATGTATCCAGTGTCCTGACTTGTAATCATCTGTTTTTTATTATTTTTGAGAAGGTACACCTGTTCCCAAGGTCCATGATATAGTCCTTGCTGTGTGTTAACCCCTGAAAACAGACTGATTACCTTAGCGACCTCTGGCATGTTCAAACCTATTTGCCAGCATTAAAGATGCGTGTAAACATTCCAGTTGGCAGTTGGACATTTGATCATTTCATGATTTTTTTCCACTTTAATTGATAGTGAGGAAGATAAAATGACATTCGTCAATTCCGTACAGCATGCTTGTTGTAGGAGTGGTCAGAGGATTGCAGCGGTTTAAGGTTCTGTGACTTTTGATTGGTCAGATCACCCACCTATAAAACTGAATGCATGCAGTGAGCTGCACTCCTTCTGGGTGTAGTGAACCAGCAATGCATTTGTACCTGCTTCTCTCGCTCTGTGTGTCTCTGTTGGCTCAGACACACAGCAGTAAGTATATGAGTAAATGATGCCTGCAGGCAGCTGTATACCTCCTGGGGGTCCTCACCTGGCACTGCAGTGTCATTCCTGCGTTTGTCATGTTCTAATGATGCGTAGTTTTTATTACTCTGTTTGCCTGCTGTATCTGTTATTCGTATACCTAGAACATACAATTAACTGATGTTTCTGTTACTATGATTTTTACTTTTATTCTTTGGTCTGTTCTTTCTAAGGCACTTCAGGGACTGACATCTCGGACTCAGACATAAAGACGGTGTCTGAGTTACTCTATAAGCTGGATGTCAACAAGGCCTCGTCCGCTGAACTTGTCATCGACCGTCAGGCCCTGATTCCTGACTCTGAGACCGGCTTGGAGAAGGACCTCTCCCCCCGCACGTAAGGGTTGCCCCCCCCCCCCCAGCTGCCTTTTAACACTCTTTTCCTGTCATGCTTAAAGATGACAAATATAAAAATGTTTCCATCATGCCAGTATTCAGGTTGAAGGGACTGTTTTTAGTGCCTGTCTGTTGAAAATGTTCAGTGTAAGTCATCCCTGGAAATGTATAAGTTGTGCATCTCACCCACTGAGTTTGTTTGTTTTATGTTGCGTAAACGTATGTTTTTTTTGAGAACAGCAGTCAAGCAGACACTCAGGTGCACTTACGAAGTTCTGTCTGTCAGGCTATTCAAGTTTGTGGATGAGGAATCCCTATTCTCCAAGCCCACGTTCTCCGCCCTCCTGGCTCTGCTGGACAACTACCACAGGCAGACTGGACAGACTGAGAACTTTTCAGAAGCTCAGGTGTCTGAGCAGGACAGGTTCCTCCATGAGGTCATCTCCAAGACTGATGTGGGAAGGGAGCTCTACTTTTTCTTCCGCAACAAAGGTTTGTTTACTGCCATACTCCTTTATGCCTACATTCAGCAGAGTATGGAGATGATGAGCGTGTGACTCATCTTCTCGTGCTCCAGGCCGCTACAGCTCAGAGGCAGAGTTTATACAGGACCTGAAGATGATGTGGTTCGGTCTCTATTCTCGCAGCAGCAACAAGATGGATTCCAGTGGTTTTGAACACATCTTTGCAGGTTTGTCTGCATTCTCTCCCATTTGTGTGCTTTTTTCTGACAGTCTTTCCCAATGGCTGCTTTCTCAGACTCCTCCATCTGTGCTGGTCTCTCTGCAGGAGAGATTAAAGGCGGTAAGGTGTCTGGTTTCCACAACTGGATCCGGTTTTACCTTCAGGAGAAGGAGGAATCACTCAACTACTACAGTCACAGCTTTGATGGACCTGTAAGTTCACACATCTCCCTTGGCCTGTTTTGCATCATTCCTCTCGTGTTTTCACTCTTTTCCACTGCCTTCAGCTTCACCTGTGCTACTGCTGCACATATATTTTTATTGGAGCTGGATCATTGGGCGTTGTCTCTTTATATGGATACAAATGTGGAAATTAAGAATTTTCATGTATTTACTTAAATATTTATATTTTGATACTTAGCCCCTGCCTGAGTTGTGAGGTTTTAATACATAAGTATTTATTGTTATATTCTGCTATCTATATTTATAATTAAATATTATCTAAAATCCTCTTCTATTGTAAATCTTGTCAACTTTTGATATTAAGATAAAAAAAACAAACAGTCATGAATGTTATTAGTTAGTATGGACTCTACTCCCTGGTAAGCAGTGTGGCGTATGGAGGATGCTATAGAGTATAGAGTACATGTCGGGCATAGTATTCCCTCTTGTGGCTGTTTTGTGGAAGTGCGGCTCTCGGCTGACACTGGCTTTCTGTCTGCCAGTGGACCACTTTCCCTGATGTGATGGGCATGCAGTTCGAGTGGGGCGGCTACTTCAAGCAAGTTGGCTCCTCCATTATTGGCAGCAGCCCGGAGTTTGACTTCGCCCTCTACAGCCTGTGCTACATCAGTAGACCAGGGAAGCGGTGAGAGGTCTTCCTAGTCAGGAACGCTTCCCCACCCGGCTGTGTGGGAATGAAAAGCCACAGAGAGCAGGACTGAAAGCACCATGTAAGGAGTCGAGAGCGAGTTTGCTTATGAGGCTGGGTTTTACATTTTCAGATGTCACCTCAGCGTAGGAGGGAAGGCAATGAGCATCCAGACCTATACCTGGGATAACTCGTCATACGGGAACGGGAAGAAGTACATCGGCTCGGCCTACCCGGCCACCCCTTAAGACACCTGCGCTCCGTCATGGCGCAAACGGCAAATACAAACCCAGCTTGATCAGACGTTTTATTGCTGTTAATAGATTTGAGACTCTTGCTCTGTCTATATCATTCTCTATTCTCTGTCCACCTCTGAATGCCATTGTATGTAGCCCCTATATTAGCGCCCAAAACCTTCGCTGTGATTTTACTCACTTGCTCTTCCCATACATCAGCTGCAAAATGTTAATTTAAAATCTAAAGGGCAAACTTGAAAACTCTTTTTCAATACTTATACATATAAAACATATAAAAACATTTCCTCAAAGTTAAACCAGTACATCACTGTAAAAGTGTGACTTAACATACATAACATAGTGACAAATATATGATGAATATTATTATTCTAAATTCTTGCCACAGTGCCAATACCGACATCATGACTCAACTGCGCCATGACTTAGCATAAAGCTAAGTAGGTATAATCCACTTGTGGAAGCCATGTTGGACATGACCCAGTGAGGAAGCCCAGCGATGTACCCTTTGGCTCGCAGTATTAGAACCACCCTTGTCTAGCACGTCAGAAACCCTCCATCAGACGCAGCAATGTCACGTGGTGTCTCTCTGTTATTCTACTTACATGTAATCGTGAGAATGACATTCTCTGTGTTTTAATTGATATTTACATATACCATATTTTGAAATCATTAGATGTTTGTAGAAAACTAAATACTTCTCCTCTGGCATTGTATGTAGTTGCTTTATTTAATTGATCTAAGATATATATTACATATATATTTTAAAGCCTGATTTATTTAATGACGGAATATTATCATGCTGTGCTACCACCAGTGCCTAATTAGTCCTGAGACAGCATTCCTCTTTGGGCCCCTGAAAGCATGGCATCCAAATCGTCCTAACTACACTGAGCACTCAGTGGTCTCTAGAAACCCCATCACAGTGAGACCAGCAGCAGTTTTCTTGATGTTTTTGAGAGAAGCCACTGGAAGATGAAACCAACTCAAAGCAGATTTGTCTCAGGGCTGAACCTGAAGCCTTATCCACATTGTTGGGGGGGTGGGGGGTGTCAGATGCAAGATTTTTGGGGTCTTGTGTTCCAGCAGGCCTGAGATGCTCCTGAGCTGACCTTCTTCTTGGGTGAGATGGACATTCATTAGATATTTTGAATGAAAGATCATTTCCATTGTTCCGATTGTTGTCCTCACAGAACCTATGAGCACGATCTACATCTGCAACTTTCACAAGTAGTCTGCAGTTCCCAGATTCACCTCAATCGCTTTCACTGCATGACACCTTTGCCCTCATGCATCCTGGTAACAAGTGGCTTGTCCACAAAGCATGTGGGAAGCATCCTGGGAACCTGACACCTGTTGGGCAGATCGCCAGAAGGCAGCTGACCGGGCAGTTTGCACCCCAGGGGGCTTAAATCGGATAAACGTCAGCGCCGAACCCCCCTTTGTCGCCAAGGGACAGCACCCTCGGAGCGACCCGCGACGGCGGAGCCACTGGGCCCGGAGCCCGGCCTCCCAGCGTCCCGTGGGGCGTCTTCCACCCTAGCCAAGTTGCCGGGGCCTCAGGCTAGCGGACTCCCTTTGTCCTGTTGGGGGGGGGGGGGGGGTCCCCTTCTTGCCGCAGAAAGTGACCCTTTGCTCGGTGAAAATACAGCCAACACTTCACAGCTGCTTTTCATTTGGGGGGAAAAAACGGCTGCGCCAGAGCCCCCAGGCCCAAGCAGGACACTTACTGGGGGGGGGGTTGTAGGTGGATTTTGTTTAGGTGACAAAAAGTTCTGGTTTATACAGGTAGCACAGTGGTGGGTGGATGTGTCTGAGTTTGACCACATTAACACTGGTTTTCGTGTCAGAGTTACACACAGACACACTGTACTAGACCAGGCTGAGACACTGTAGGAAAAGGCTGCCACACTTCTCCAGATCTAGTACCATATATATGAGTTTAGTGCTGTCTGTCTTGTTCTCCTTTTGTCTGTTCCCCTGAGTATTCCAGTCTCTCTCAGGACAGGCAGCTTGACAGATGGACTCCCCGCCCCCCCACCCCCTCCCCCGGTGTCTAAAAAGCTTTGGAAGCAGAAACGTTAGAGGTTCAGACCCCTGCCTGGAGGGATTTTTTTTTTTAGCTCCAAAACTCTGACATCTGATTTGACAAACAAGCAGAGGACTGATCCTCTTCTTTCGATGCATTTAATCATCTGAAGTCTCATAGCCATTCACTAAAGAGGGAACCAAACATTTATGATTTACGTTAACACATCACTCCCTCAAAAAAAAACAAATTGGAGCACAATTAATTTTTCATAATAATTAAATAGCCCAAATATTATTTTGTTGAATATTCAAAAGAAAACATAAATGTAGGAGAAAATTCACATTTGCAAAACTGTAGTCATGGTTCAGCCGTGCTTCTTAATTTAAATATTTCGGATAAATATTTATGTATAAAATATCTCCAGAATTATTAATAATCTGTTTGATCAGATTAAAAGCAGTTTGTGTTGTAACTGATTGAACGTGTCTTTAGATTAGTTTGCACATCGCAGATCTGCTACATTTTTCTCACAACCTGCCAGTTTAAACCCGAGCAGATGACCATAAGCCGCCATGAGTGTGCTGCTCGTTAGCTGAATATTCATTGCTTTGAATTATTCAGGAGCCCTGTGAATGATCCCCGTGAATGATCCCCGTGAATGATTACCCGTCAGCCCGCACGCCAGCCCCATCTTCCATCCACCAGCCAGCAGTCTGGCTCGGACTGTATCGCCTCCTTCACCAACATACGTCACTCGTAACTCTGAGGGCTGCACCCAGCTCGAGACCACAGGTTGGCATATCATCACTCATGTCACTGCGAGGTCCTCGCCTGACAAGTGACCCCCTCCCCCATCTAAAAGGAGATGCCACTGGTTCTGTCTCTAAGCTCTTAAAGACACACCTTTTGTCCTCCATCACCATACGTCGAAATGAGTGGCACCTCTACTTAGCTTGCAGTTGTTGTTTTTTTGCATATTTATACAAATGGCTATTTCTTTGAAAGAAGCTCAAATTCAGTTCCCTTACAGAGCCCCTTACAGTCACATGTCCATGGTCTTGTCGGGTAGGGTATCTGCAAAAAGGGATCTCTAAAGCAGCTCCACAGCCCAGCTTGAACCCCCCCCCCCCCCACTCTGTGCCTGTGCCACTGTGCGCCCCACCCAGCAGTCTGCGTGATCCTCCCCCTCTGCACCTGCCTTCTGCAGCTCCAGTGAGCAGCCGACAGAAACACTGTCTTGCCCACAGGGGCTGCCGGGGACCCCACTCTGCCTGATATGTGGCCCCACAGTGGGATTTTCACAAAAACGTGTCCAAAACACACACACAGACACGCAAGTCAAAACACATCTGAACACACACTGTCTCAGGTGAGTCTGAGCACACATCCAGACACATATGACGTGTGATGAATGGAGAGTCCCCACAAGGATAGGAATATATGAACTGTGTGTGTGTCTGTGCATGTGTCTGAGTGTGTGTCTGTGTGTGTGTGCATGTGTGTCTGTGTGTCCGTGTGTGTGTGTGTGTATGCATGTGTCTGAGTGTGTGTGTCTGTGTGTGTGTGCATGTGTGTCTGTGTGTCCGTGTGTGTGTGTGTGTATGCATGTGTCTGAGTGTGTGTGTCTGTGTGTGCGTGTGTGTCTGTGTGTGTGTGTGCGCGCACACGCAGGGATTTGCCTAAGCGTGTGTTTCTGTTACCTGAGTCTGGAAAAAACGAGAGCAGAGATGCCAGGACCCATCTGCTGTAGCAGTGAGTGCAAAAACACCTCTTCCATTCGAACCCGTTCCTGAGGGACAATGTCAGCTCCGACCTCGGCAGTAAGAACAAATTATTAAACCTGAAGCATCCTGATTACGGATGGGACCGATGCAGAACTGAGAAGGATACAGAACTGCTACTTCAGTTATCAGTATCTGTTCCATGATTTTCGTTTCTCTTTTCCTTCCTGCTCTGAATAAGTTGGGAGGTTAGAGTACAACGCATACGGTGCCTCTGGCGTTCCTGCCGACTGCGTGACACCTCGGGGTCGGTGTATTCCCACCGCGGGCTGCAGGTGCATGAAGGACAAACCCAGCCCTGTGGGAGAGCGTGGCTGCGGGGTGCAGAGCGTGAAAAGCTTCCACTGGGTGCACAGCAAGAGCTTCAGCTCTAACCCCTCCACTTACACACAGGACCGCTGCTTTCCTAAGCCAGAGAACAATGTCAGCCATTTTAAAACAGGATAACAGACTTTGAGAAGGAACCAGAGTTCTTATCCTGGTAACACCATGCAGAGTAAAAAAATATGAAATATAGGAAGGTTTTTAGAGTTAACTTTAATTTAAAAGGTCACTCTAACATGCCTCATTACTTTTCTGATAAATTAAGCTTTCCTCAAAATTGAAAGGAACTGAGGTCTTTTTGTCTATTGTCTTACTTAACATCAATGTGACGGAGTTTTATAAAAGGTTCTAATGGCGTCATATTTCATGCAGATCATGAAAATCATTCCCCGCCGCTGTTCCCTGTCGGCCAGCCAGGTAGCAGCCATGAGGAGGAGCCTGCAAACGTCTGATTCTCCAGTTCCAAGCAACAGATGCTGGGTTGTCCTGCGTCGCCCCTCTTTAAGGACGCCATCTGTTCACTCAATTGTAGCGGGAATCACGTGCCAGAAAAGTTGTCTAAAGTAAAACGGACTCATTAAGACTCCCTGCATTTATAACTGCACATAGGTTGCATTGTATTAACTAAGATTCACCAGAAGATGATGGGATAGTCATGATTAAAATGTTAAAGGGTTCACAAAGCACCACATCCAAGCAGGGGGCCATGTATGACTAACAGTGCGACATTGTGTTGTGAGATGCTTTAACGAAGGGGGGCTCAACTGGTGCCACACGCCTCCGGAATTGTGGGTTTGAATCCCTTCTGGGGGTTTGCATGTTCTCCCCATGTCTAGTCGGTCTCCTACAAGTACTCTGGTTTCCCCATGTTCCAAAGATACGCAGTCAAGCTAATTGATGCCTCTGAATTACCCGTGGTGTATGATTCTGTTTGTGTGTGTGTGTGTGTGTGTGTGTGTGTATGTGCCCTGTGATGGACTGGCATCCCATTCAGGTTCTACCCAGTCTATGCTGCCTGGAATAGGTTCCAGGCCAGTCCCCTGACCCGGGTACATGGTGGAATGATGGATGGATGGATGGATGTTTTAATGGTTGTAATGTTGGCTGTAATGATTGTTGGAGATTTCCTGGCAGTTTGCATAGGTGACCTGTCACCTGCATGCACATCTGTGTCTGGTGAGGTAAAGGCTGTTAGTGTAAAAGGGTGACGCCGAAATAACAGCCGGATAAACGGAAATAAAGATACCAGAACGGAAGTGTCAAATATGTGGTAGTTTGTCAACACTTTATGTATCAAACAGATGCTGGATAAAATAAAGTGCTAGACTATAAGTAAACAAAAAAAAATCACTATTTCTTAATTTTGACGTTATATCAGTTGTCGTTAAGTCAATAAATATTGACGTTATGTCAATATTTAGCGAATTTTGTTCATTATATCGTGCTGTTATAATAACAACCATTAAAGAGCTAGTCTTGACAGATTTTTAAAATATCTGTATTTAAATTTAATTTAAATTTTATGTGACAAACAGCACTGTAAAGAGTACGCACCCCGAACAGAGCCCGGGCTGCTGTACGTAATGGGAGAGGAGCTGATTTACGGATCACACAGCCAGTGCAGTAAAGGACCCCGCGGTGGAAATGCGGGCGCAATAATTAAGGAACATTAAAGCATATTGACTGTGCTAATAGTTATTGTTTGGGACCGAACCTATAAGAAGTTCAGTAGGTGTCAAAACGGGGGGTTTTCTGACAGAACTTCAAATGAGTCAGATAATCAAATGTGCAATTAAATATTAAATACTACTACACAATATTGAAGAAATATATAAAAAATTAACAATAATTTTATTTAGCTCGCTGTCTTGAGGAAGTGTTAGAGTGTAGTGCATTGATTTAGCTGGTTTCTGATGATGTTTAATTATTAAGTTTAAATACCAGGACAGATCCTGTGTGACTGACATCCTTCCCCGGGGAAATGTAGCCCCCGCTTGGAGCCTGAAAGGAGACAGACGGAGGTTAAGAGGCAGGCGGCGGGGAGGGGCCAACCGACGCCCAAAACGCCGGACTCCGGCCCGGGAGGCTGCAGAGGGAGTGCCGCTGTCGGCCGGACTTGTCACTAGGGGAACACGTACGTTATATAATCAAGAGGTCATATAAAAACTTCATCTTTTTAATTTCAGGGAAAATTTGGAACGGCTTTCCTAAAGCAGGTACAGTAGGCCTGATTTACTTATTTGTCTGTGTATAATGGCGATAAATTACGTTTTTGCGTTCAAATTAAAGCTTTATTCACCTTATTTCAGTTTTCATTTAGGTTGCATTTGGTGAGGTGTGAGGCGGACCTTACTGAACTTGTTACGTCGGTATAATATTTATCTGTTTAAAACTCTTTAAAAACTGCTGAAAAATAAATTTAGATACCGTTTCATAGTTTTATCATTCCCTTTGCATAAAAATTCAGACGCACCATTGAAATTTATATCCATTTTTTTTTAAATGAATCTTCGGTGTATTTAGTTCATTTTGTCACAGCTTTGCAAAATGTACTTATTAGACCCCGTTCTGAATACGCGGTGTGATGGATATCGGGTTTTTAGTTTCTGATGTTTCAAATGCCGGAAAATTAAGAGTACCAAATTCATTATGATTATTGTCGTATTTATAAACCACCGAAGGCTGACTGCGGATTAGTGGAAATAGTCAGATTCAGGATTACAGGATTAGGGTCTTTCCAAAAAAAACTCGGATTGCTGTAGTTCTGGGAGCTGTCCAGGACGAAGTGCTGAATACAGGTTTCCTTTATTTTCCTTTTCTCTCATTTGTATAATTTTATGTTCCGTTTTTTCACTATTAAGATTTTCAGTCTGTCACTGAAGTCTATCACAATATTAATTATACAATATCAATGAATTAACGGTACAGTATGACTTATCCCCAATACACGAACTGAGATGTTGGATGATACTGTTTATTTGCTTAATCACGTACCGAAAAATTTAACAAACATAAATATTTGCTGGGAAAAAAAGGTTATAACATTTATGTACCCTTGTTAATGGTTCGGCACCTCTGGGTTTTACATACCAGTAGGACTGTCCAGTCTGCTTTTAACCTAGAGGTGCCATGTACAGGTAAGGAAACACTAAGGGAGAATCTGTCTGGACACTCCAACCTGAAGTCCACCTGTTTCACACTCCCATCTTCAGAGAGTAGCACAGATCCGCCCAAACCAGAACCACATATCACTGGAATAACCCCCCGGTGCCCTCCCTCCCAAGTGTCCCACCCATTTCTGTCTGCACTGGGATTTTTTATTTTTTTTTAGTTGACTGAAGTATTGTCTGTATTTTCGGCGATTTGTGTTAATTATTTAGTGTAATTGTTTTTGCTGGTTATCTGTGCTAGGCAAGGGCACATGCTGGATAGAGTGGCAGCTTTGGGTGATGTAGAGGTGTTAAGTCACTCAGATTGAGTAACAGAGAGATCCACACACACACACACACACACACACACA